CAATTTCTTCACAAATCTGCAGTGCTAACTCTATTGTATATCAAGTTTATATTCATAGTTAGGTCTGTTTCTAGGCCCTGTTTCCTGTTCTGTTGGTCTATTTCTATTCCTGGGCTAATACCTGACCACTTTTGTAGTAAGGCTTGAGAGCTGGTAGGACAACTCCTCTACCTTATTCCTTTTTCTCAGGAGTATTTTCTTTTTTGCCATTTGCATTTTCATATACCTTTTAAAATCAGCTTTAGTTCCACAAAAAACCTTATTGAAATTTTGATTGTTATAGCATTAAATCTGTATATCAACTTGAAGAGAACTAACATCTTTACCATATCAAATTATCCTACTTATGAAGACCATATGTCTCTCCATTTATTTAGATCTGTAGTGTCTTTCAATGAAGTTCTATAATTTTTTTCTTGAGGGATTTGCATATTTCAAACTTCCTAAATACATTATATTTTTGGTCAGTGTTATAAATGGTAAATTTTTAAATTAGATTTTCTAACTATATTTTTGCAAGTACATAAAAATGCAAATTTTCTTTTTGTATATTGGTCTTTTATTTAGCAACCTTGCCAGACTTTATCTTTAGTAGTAATAATTGTCATTTGTTTAAAAAAAAAAGTCATTTGTAAAGTTTGGAGGATTTTTCCATGTAGATAGATAATTATGTCCTCAGGAAACTGTGACAGTTTTATTGCTTCCTTCTCAATTTTATTACACTTTTATTTATTATACTTTTCTTACTGTGCTTGCCAGAACCTCGAATGCAGTATTGAATAAAACCAGTGATAGTGGACATTCTTGTTTTATTCATGTTTATAAACAATATTTCTAATATTTCACCATTAGGATAACATTGTAAGTTTTTGGTCACTACCCTTTATCAGGTTAATGAAATTCTTAATGAAATTCCATGTGTGCTAAAAGTCTTGTATATTTGATTTTTTAATCATGAATGGTGTTGAATTTAATCAGCTACTTTCTCTGTATCTGCTAAGGTAATAATAATATAACTTTTTCCTTTAATCTGATAATGTGGTGAATTACCTAAATATATTTTCTAATGTTAAAATAAGGTTTAGTTTATTTTGATAAGTTTTTGTGTTATGTTTGTTTTTTATACATTGTGGGATTTGGGCCTCTGGTCACTTCAGTTCTCACTCAGCTTTCTGGACTTTTTGCTAGCTTTTGATCTCCAAGCATTTTTCTTTGTTTTTGGCTCAGTGGTATATTTTAAAAGATATATACTTTTTTATCTATTTATTCTGCCTTTGGGAGTATTTTATAACAGAAAGGTTTTCGGGGTGTCAGTTCACCAAATTACCAGAACTAGAATTCCACGTCAGTATTTTTAGAGTAAAAGTTTCCATTAATGTAAGATATGATCACTACCAGCATATCTGTCTTCTCTTCTTGTCTCTCTGCATAACCATCCCCCTTCCAGCTGGAAACAAGGCAGCAGTGTTGTGTAGTAGAAAGAGCATCATACCAGAAGTCAAAAGGCACCAGTTGTAGTGTCAGCACCACCACGTAGTGAGATCTTAACCAAGCTACTTATTCTCAGGGAGTTTCATTCAACCATCCGCTAGGAGGAAATACTCAGGATTGAAGTGAGAAATTACATGGGTTTATAAATGTGAACGTGTTGTCAGGGGAAAGGATGAGATGCAGTGATGTTGAGTACATTCTGTGTTAGGGAAATGTAATTGAAACGGAGTTTAGGGAAGGGAGAGGGTTGATTTGGTAGCACAGAGGATTTTTTAGGGTGGTGAAACTATTTCATGGTTTTGGAATGGTGGATATATGACACTGTGCATTTGTTAAAATCCATAGAGCTCTGCAGCACAAAGAGTAAATTATCTTGACATAAGCAAAATTTTAAAAATAAATAAGGACAAATAGGGTTCTGGATAGAAAGCTGACTGATAAAAGAATCTAACTATATTACAGATACATGTAATAACCTCACTGAAAGGGGCCAAGCTGACCTAAGTAACTTTGAAAATATGACTAAAACTAAAGGCAATAGGAACTGTACATAAGCACTGTACTCCAGTTGATAAAGTTTGAACTCTAGCTTGCTATAGATAGAGAGGGATACATATAGAAACATTTATAAAGACATGTATTTAACCAAGGTTGAGTATACCTACATATATTTCCTTCTTTTGTCAATTGAGAGCGCCTATAAGCAGCCTAGTAGCAAGGAGCACACCCAGTACCTGGTCTGTTCTCCAAAAAAAGGAACCAGTACTCTTTGGAGAACTAGCTGATTCTAGGACTGGGTCAAGGAATATACAACATGAGCCTACAATATTTTGTAGTACCGGAAAGTGAGGAAGTGCTCAAAAACAAAACACAATGATGGAAGTATGTCAAAAAGATACAGGAGCTAACTATAGAAGAAACTATAGGAATAAGAGCTCTTCATGGCCAAAACAGGGAGAGTTTGAGCAATAAATAAAGTAGTAGTGGGTAATAATCCACAGTTTAAAATAAACATGAGGGGGCGCCTGGGTGGCTCCGTGGGTTAAAGCCTCTGCCTTTGGCTCAGTTCATGATCCCAGGGTCCTGGGATCGAGCTCCGCATAGGGCTCTCTGCTCAGCGGCGAGCCTGCTTCCCCCTATCTCTCTGCCTGCCTCTCTGCCTACTTGTGATCTCTGTCTGTCAAATAAATAAAATCTTTAGTAAATAAATAAATAAATAAATATGAGTCCATACTGATAGAAACAAATGATTAAATAAGTAAGTAGGGGAGAAGAAACAAATCTCCCACACAAAAGAATTCCAAATAATATGTGTATATCCTCTGCCCTTAAAGAGGTGGAGCATAACTCCCTACTCCGTAAGTGTGGGCTTCCTGTAGTGACTTCCTTCTAAGAATACACTGTGGAAAGAGGGAAGGGAATAACTTCACAGTGGAGAAACTTATCGATCACTCCACAGCTGGTAATCAAGATTAACATCAACCCATCGTAAGTCATGTTCATATCATGAATACCCTTGATATGATGTGATAAGAATGGCACTTTACTTCTGTGGGTTTTTTTTTTCTCTCTGAAACCCAAACCCCAATCCAGTAATGAGAAAAATATCTCAAAAATATTTGAGGAGCATTCTACAAGATACTTGATCAGTATTCCTCAAAATTGTCAAGGTCTTCAAAAACAAAGAAACTCTGAGAAACTATTAGAGCCAAACAGGAGCCTAAGGAGACCTAATCACAAAATATAATGTGGTGCTCCGGATGGAATTCTGTGAGAGAAAAACACATCAGATGAAAACAAAGGGATTTTGAATAAAATATGGACTTAGGTTTATAATAATGTAGTAGTATTGGGGTGTCCTGTCATGATCTCAGGGTGGTGAGATCGAAGCCCCACAATGGGCTGCACTCTGGATGTGGAGCCTAAGATTCTCTCTCCCTCTCCCCCACCCCCAATTGTGCACCCGTGCTTTCCTCTCTCTCAAAAAAAAAAAAAAAAAAAAGAAAGAAAGAAAGAAAAGAAACTATGTTAGAATATGGGAGCTCTCTGTACCATCTGTAACTTTTCTGTAAATCTAAAACTGTTCTAAAATTAAAAGTTTGCTTTAAAAATGCAATAGGAATATGGTAGATGCCACTGTATAGAGGCAGCATAGGTTTAGTGGTTAAGAGGAACTCAGCGGCCTGCCTGGGTTCAGATATCAGCCTCACAACCTGCTAGCTGTGCCAGCCTGGGTATGCTAAGTAACTAGAATTACTTTAACTTCTCTGTGCCTCATTTCCTTATCTGTTAAGTGGGTTCTTGGGAGGTCTAAATGAGTTATCATATGTAAAGCACTGGAAGTAATGCCTGGCGTATAGCAGATACTAAAGAAATGTTTGATTCCGTTTATCATTACTACTTTGTTTTGATCTTAATTTTGGGGAGCTCTGTGTTGATAGCTGAATTTTACTGAATCTCCCTTCTTTAGCATACTGATTTTTAGCTGGTCACTCCAACAGGACAGTGTCTATAATGCTTTTTTCATAGGGGGAAATTATTAAGATTATAAAGATTCAAGAGAAAGCAAGGCCAGAACTGGTGGATTGCCACTCCCAGTTTCATGCTGTTTAAATAGTATTGACCAAGTGAAAAGCCTGGCAGGATCTACTTTTTTATGGGCATAGACATGCCACATACATAAATTCCAAAGTTAACTTTATTTGGTTTTTCAGTAGATTTACTATTGAAATGTCCACTCCCCTTTTAGGGCAAGGTACTGCCTACGGTACAAATCCCTCAGATTTAGGGGTCAGCATCTAAAATTTTCGTGACATTTGAAACAAAATGGATTGTATTATTTAAAAAATGTATATAAAAACATGTTTTAGGCCTTTTACTTCTCTGCCTGAAATACATACAAACACTGATAGGAAACTCCTTATATATCAGCAGCTCAGGTGTGATAGTGTACTGCGTAGAACAAAGAATTCAGAGTCAGGAATCCTGCTTGGACTCTGGGGTCTTATAGCTGTGTGAACAAGGCAACTCATGTAACCTATTTGAACCTCATGTCCCACATCTGTAAAATGGTGATAACAAAAATGCTTGTCCTGCCTTCCTCCCTTACTTATAGGACTGTTGTAAGGATTAGGTGTGAAAATGAACATGAGAGCTTTTTGTGAATTGTAAAACCTATACAAATATTATTGTTCTAGTCATTCTCAGGCTTTCGACCAGATTAAGACTCTAATGAAGCTTTAGAGTCAGATTAGGTGTTATACACCTTTACTTATTTAATTATGCAATAAGGTGAAATCATTTGAATTTAACATGCCTTTGATGGTGTATTTTCTCACAGCACTTTAGTTTTTATGATGTTTTTCTTTGGTGTGACAGAGGAAGGCATTGTTTTTATCTGGAATTGTTTCCTTCAGGTAGCAGTTTGAAGAACTAGCCTTCAAACTCTTCACCGAAATTAGCTGTATAGAGAACACAAAAGCATATCCCTCTGATTTGATGTCTCCTTAGGACATAGACCCTCTTCTCCTGGAGTGAAGCTGACCAGCAGAGGGTGCACGAGCTTTCCCAGGAGCTGGCCTCAAAGGCGAGCTGGGCAGACGGGACTGGTGTCTGATGATTAACAAGTACTATAAATGAAAAGGTTCTGGCGCACCAAAAACAGTTACCAAATGGAAAGAGAGAGCAGCCATAACATCAGGTAACAGTGTGGTACTCACCCACCGTAGCTGGTGAATAGGATGTTTCTAGGTAATTGGCATTGGTATTGTAGCATGGGTTATTTGTCTTCTATGTCCTCCTGCTACTCTTTGTCTTTTCCAATAATTGCTTTCCCTTTCAGGGTTCTTTGCCCCCACCTTCAGAGCATCTGCAGTTGTTGGCCTTATGTGGTCTAACAAATTGGAGTTTTTTAAAACTAGTCTTTCTCTGAACTTTCTTGGCCCTAGGGTGTTTGGGTCCTGGATCCAGCTGGCCACAACACCCTGCCTGGGTCCCTTTACCAGGCTCTCACAATTCCATTGCATCTTTTCCTCCATGTAAATGGGTGACCTCTAAAAAAAATTCACAGTTTTCAAGTTTTACTATCACTACTGCCATACCATCTTTTTTCCCTTCCTTTCCAAGCATGAATCCTCTACCCATAGATATTGTGTAGAGTTTATATACTTAGCGATTATAAAAATATTTTTATGTTTCCTGAGTATAAAGGTTTTTTGAGTTTACTTACAAAGATAAAGAAAAGAACATTTTTGGGACATATTGAAACAATAGAAGGATCTCCCTGAGTCTTTCAATCAGAGAAAACTGTAAATTCTTCCAGACTTTTTCTATGCATATGTATATTTGTTTTTATATATATTAATTTTTAAAAATAAGATCTTACTATAGCTACTATTCTGTACCTGATTTTTTCCCCAACCTAGTAAATAATTGGCTTCTTTCCATATCAATAAATTTAGGTTTATAAGCAACATTTTAATATATATAATTATTATATATATATTTAAATATATAGGACTGGGTCCTGCAGTGCATCATGGGGCCTGATCTCACCACCCCGAGATCATGACCAGGCACCCCCCTAACATAGTTTCTATATTATTAAAATCTTATATTATCATGACAATTTGTTATAATTAATAAGGCAATACTACTACATTATTATAAATCTAAGTCCATACTTAATTCAAATTCTGTTTTTCTTCATTCGATGTGTTTTTCTCTTATATATGTATGTATATATAGATAGATATTATGGATATATAGTAATTTAGTCAGTTTTTTTAGTCAGTTTTCTAAAGATGAATATTTAATGGCCTGCAGTTTTTCAGGTTAATGTACAACAATGCTATAACAAATTCTTATATACTGGTCTGCCTGGGTGGCTTAGTTAGGCATCTGCCTTTGGCTTGGGTTGTGATTCCAAGGTCCTGGGATCAGGCCCCACATGGGTTTCCCTGCTCATCAGGGAGCTCGCTCCTCCCCCTGCCTCTCCCTTGTCCAACTGTTCGTGCTCTTTCTCTGCCAAATAAATAAATAAAATCTTTAAAAAAAAAACACAACAAATCCTTATATTCTTCTGATTATATTCTTAGGATAAATTTTTAGAAATTGAATTTTCCATCAAATTTATTCTTTAAGAATTGGCATATATATGGGGCATCTGGATCACTCAGTTGGTTAAGTGTCCGACTCTTGATTTTGGCTCAGGTCATGATCTCAGGGTTGTGAGATCAAGCCCTGCATGAGGCTCTGTGCTGAGTGTGGAGCCTGCTTAAGATTTTTTTCTCTCCCCCTTCCTCTTTACCCCCTTAAAAAAAAAGAATTTTCATAGGTATTGCCTTTCCTCAGGAAGGGTCTTTCAGTGCAGTATCCCCTGATAATGTGTGAGGATGCTTGTTTTTGCACATCACTGATCACAACATTTCACTTTGCCAAAATGATAAGTCAGATACTTAAGTAAGCCATCATATTCTTTTTTAAAAGAATAGGTGGACTTTCCTTTCTCCATGTCACCCCAGAAAATTAGTCTAAGGCAGTGGTTTTCCAACTTTTTGATCTCAGGACCCCTTGACACTGAAAAATTATACCAAGAGCTTTTATTTATATGGATCATAGTTGTCAATATTAATGTATTAGAAATTAAACCTAAGAAAAAATGTAAATACTAAGTAATTTAAAAATAACAATAATAGATCCATTGCATATTAGCATGAATACCATTTTTATTAAAAGTATTTTTTTTAATCTTTTTTCTTTTTCCAACTCTTTTTTTTTCAATATCCTTTTCCAAAAGAAAAAAGATTAATGAGAAGAGTGGCATAGTTTTACATTTTTGTAAATCTCCTCAATATTTGGCCTAAGAGAAGATGACTGGATTCTTTTTCTTTTTTTTTTTAAGTATGTTTAACATACAGTGTTGTATTAGTTTCAGGTGTACAAGATATTGATTTAACAGTTCTACACATTACTCAGTGCTTACTGTGGTAAGTGTAGTCACTCTCTGTCACCATACAATGTTATTATGGTATTATTATTTTTTTTAAAGATTTTATTTATTTATTTGACAGACAGAGATTACAAGTAGGCAGAGAGGCAGGCAGAGAGAGAGGAGGAAGCAGGCAGAGAGAGAGGAGGAAGCAGGCTTCCTGGTGAGCAGAGATCCCGATGTGGGGCTCGATCCCAGGACTCTGAGATCATGACCTGAGCCGAAGGCAGAGGCTTTAACCCACTGAGCCACCCAGGTGCCCCGTTATTATGGTATTATGGACTGTATCTCTTATGCTGTACTTTTTGTCTCTGCAACTTATTTTATGACTACAAGTTTGCACCTCTTAATCCTCCTACCTCATTCACTGGATTCTTATGCTTGCTTCTTCATTGAGTCGTTTATGATATATTGTTCTGGTTTATATGCATGAAGAAAATCTGATCTCATGCAGAAATGTAGGTGGTTAGGGATGCCTGGGTGGCTCAGTCGGTTTAGCGTCTGCCTTTAGCTCAGGTCATGATCCCAGGGTCTTGGGATCAAGTCCTGCATCAGGCTCCCTGCTCAGCAGGGAATCTGTTTTTCTCTGTCCCTTTGCCCCTTCCCCCTGCTCATGCCCTTTCACTCTCGCTCTCTCTCAAATAAGTAAGAACTTTAAAAAATAAAATTTAAAACAATGTAAGTAGTTAGAAAGAGGAGGAGTACTTTAAAGGTCTCTTAGGATGAATGAAAATATTCTTTGCTACTATACCAAATTCCAATAGGCAGTAGTTTTTTAAAGGTCAATTACAATATAACGTTTGAAACCATGTCAGTGAACTTTTCATACTCTGTTACATTAAAATCCTTTGACTGTCTTGCACTTTGAATAGATCTTTTACCCAGGCATGATTTTGTGATATCATTTGTCTCATCTGGAATATATTGGTTCACTGAGCTGTGCAGTTGACACATTTCATTATACTGTATCAAAAATACCTTTTTCTCATCGGAACAGTGTTTAAGTATCAGAAAGCTGTTAAGCTCACCGTGGTAGGCACAAGTTTTCTAGAATTCTAATTTTTTGTTTAAAAGTTTGAATTTTATTAATGGCAACAAGTGGTGTCAGTTGTTTTCCTGACAGGCTTATTTTGTTTTTGAGAAAATGCCAAAGTAAAAATGGTGTTCCATGAATAAAATTTTTATTGCTTCGTCAAAGAGATGCTTAAGTGAAACTGGCTTTTTTTCCCCCTCCTGTCGTTGCATGGTTGGTGAAGAAAATAATTACCTGCAGTATAGTTTGGTGCAACTGCCTTGATTCAGATGAAGATGCCCGCAGCTTTATCCACCATTGCCTGGGCACCATCGTGCAACTGCCACCACTGTAAAAATGATTTATAATATGTTGACGTTATTATGAAAATAATTCTGACCTCTTGAAGACCCCCTTAAAGTGTTTTGGGCCCCTAGGAATCCGCGGATCACACTCTAAGAACCTCTAAGGTAATTGTAGGAACCCATTCTTTTACCAGAAACTGATGTAGCAATAGTTTGTGCCCTCAATTTCTGGCCAGTGAAGTCTGAGAGTAAACGTGTTGAGGAGCTTGTGAGAAAATTTCCCCATTCCTACAAAGATAAAAGGAAGAAATGGTCCTTTTCTTCCTCTGGATGTTACCATGTTAGTTGTAATACCCGGAACTGCTGCAGCCATTTTGTGGCAAAGGGAACAAGCCTTAGGGAGGAAACTGATCCTGTTAAGAGCAGGTTAGAGAAATGACAAGAACCTAGGTCCTTGCTGACATTATAGAACTAAAGATAAAACCACACTTAGAGCTTACCCAGCCTCTGGACTTCTAGTTATGAGAGATATTATTCTCTCATTATTTAAGCCAGTTTGGATAGGGTCTTCTGTTACTTGCCATTGGAAGCATCCCCCAAAACATTTTTTGTTAGCGTGATGAATATTTTTAAGTGTCTGGTGGCCATTTGCATTTCTTTTGTGAATGTTTGTTGGTGGCATTGGTGTATTTTGTACTGAGGTCATTTCTAAGTACTTCCTAAGCATTCCTTAGTATTTTGAAAGCATTCCTTACATATTAGTAATACATTGTAGTGTTTTGCAAGTATCTCCACCAGAGTCTTCTATAGCATATCCTCCCATACATCTTTTAAGCAATCTATTAGTCTTTTTCTTTCCTTTTTTACTTTATAGCTTTGGTATCATGTTAAAAAGAGTCTTTTCTACTCCCACTTTTAAGTAAGTATTCACGTGTATATTTTTAGGCCTATTGAGTATTTTTTACATTAAAAACTTAAACTTACCTGGAATTTATTTTGGTGTTAGGTATAACATAGGCATATAACTTTATTCTTTCCAAAATAGGTAGCCTTTTTCTTTCTTTCTTTTTGTTTTAAAGATTTTTTTTTTTTTTTTTTTAATAATCTCTACATCCAAAATGGGACTCAAACCTACAACCCCAAGATCAACAGTCCCATGCTCCACTGACTGAGCCAGCCAGGTGCCCCTTTACTTCTTTCCTTTCTTTCTTCCTCCCTCCCTCTCTCCCTTCCTACCTCCCTCCCTCTCTTCCTTCTTCCCTTCCTCCCTCCCTCCCTTCCTTTCTTCCTTCCTTCCTAGTTCTACGTGTAAGGTGGGGCTCAAACCCACAACCCCAAGATCTAGAGTCATATGCTCTCCTGACCGAGCCAGCCAGGCTCCCTGGTAGCTCATT